AGCTACAGAAGGAGTAGCAATAATTTTTGAAGGATAAGCTATGGCAGGAAAAGAAGGATACAAATGTATAAAATTCAAGGATTATGTGGATTTTAAAATAAAGATTGGATGTGAAAAGTGGGTTATAGTAAGCGTGCATGCACCTGGAGGAAGAAAAGAAGTTTTAGAGGAGAGAGAGGGGATTTGGGAAATGTTGAGTGAATGCAGGGGGAGTTTTGAATCAAGTGTGAGAGTAATGGTGATTGGGGGTTTCAATGCTAAAGTGGGTAAAAAAAGTTATGGGGGGAGTAGTAGGTAAAATTTGGGGTGCCAGGGGTAAATGTAAATGGGGAGCCTTTAATTGAGCTATGTGTTTGAAAGAAATTTGGTAATAAGTAAAAAATATTTTATGAAAAAGAGGATAAATAAATATACAAGGGTATGATGTAGCACGTAATGAAAGTAGTTTGTTAGACTATGTATTGGTGGATAAAAGGTTGATGGGTAGGCTCCAGGATGTAATGTTTATAGAGGGGCAACTGAAATATCGGATCATTATTTAGTTGTAGCTACAGTTAGAGTAAGAGGTAGATGGAAAAAGAGGAAGGTGGCAACAAGTAAGAGGGAGGTGAAAGTGTATAAAATAAGGGAGGAGGAAGTTCGGGGGGAGATAAAAGGGGACTATTGGCAGAAAGGTGGGAAAGGGTGCAAAGATGAGTAGTGAGGGGGTTGAAGAGGGTTGGAAAGTTTTTAAAATGCGGTATTAAAATGGGGGGCAGAAGTTTGTGGTTATAGGAGGGTGGGGGCAGGGGGGAAAGAGGAGTTATTGGTGGAATGATGAAGTAAAGGGTGTGATAAAAGAGAAAAGTTAGCTTACGAGAGGTTTTTAAAAAGCAGAAGTTTTTATAAGAAGAGCAGAGTATATGGAGAGTAAAAGAAAGGTGAAGAGAGTGGTGAGAGTGTGCAAAAGGAGGCAGATGAAAGAGGGGAGAGGCACTGTCAAGAAATTTTAATGAAAAAATAAGAAAAAATTTTGGAGTGAGTTAAACAAGTTAAGAAAGCCTAGGGAAAGTATGGATTTGTCAGTTAAAAACAGAGTAGGGGAGTTAGTAGATGGGGAGAGGGAGGTATTAGGTAGATGGCGGGGGAATATTTTGAGGAACTTTTAAATGTTGGGAAGAAAGGGAGGCGGTAATTTCATGCACTGGCCAGGGAGGTATACCATCTTTTAGGAGTGAAGAAGAGCAGAATTTTAAGTGTGGTGGAGGTACGTGAGGCATTACGTAGAATGAAAGGGGGTAAAGCAGCTCGAACTGATGGGATATGGACGAAAAGTTAAAAAGGGGGGGTTAAAAGTGTTGGGTGGTTGGTACTTTTGTTTTAAAAAATGTATGAAAGAGGGGAGGTACCTAGGGGTTGGCAGGAGCATGTATAGTCCCCTTTTTTAAAGAGAAAGGGGCAAAAGAGATTGTAAAAAATTTTAGAGGAAAAATTTTTCTGGTTTTCCCGGAAAAGTATCGGTTTTGGGTTATAATTGAAAGAAATTTGAGGTAAGACAGAATGTAGGATTGCGGATGAGAGGGAGGCTTCGGTGGGTAGGGGGTGTGTAGATCAAGTGTTTAAAAATTTAAGCATATTGTGAACAGTATTTAGTAAGGTGGGAAGTTTTTATTGCATTTATGGGTTTAGAAAAAAGGGATATGAAGAGTGGATAGAGGAGCAATGTAGGATGTTCAAGTATATAGAAAGGTGGGGAAGTTTAAATGCTGTAAAGAGCTTTTATGGGTGTAGGGTCAGGTTAGGGATGTGAAGAGAGGGAGAATTTTCCCGGTAAAAATAGGGCTTAGAAGGGAAAATGTAATGTCAACATGGTTGTTTAATTTTTTATATGGGGGTTGTAAAAGAAGTAAATGCTAGGGTTTTTCGGGAGGGGGTGGGATTTTAAATTTTTGGGGAATCAAAATTTAAATAACTGAACTGTTTTAAATTTTTTCTGATGATACTGTGCTTTGGGAGATTCTAAAAAAAAAATTGAAGGTTAGAGGAGAGTTTTTAGAATGTGTGTAAATGTAGAAATTGAAGTGAACTGAAAAGGTGGTGATGAGGGTATCAAAAAATTTAGATAAAAAAAATTTGGATATCAATTGGGGAGGAGTAGTAGGGAAAAAGTGAATTTTTTCAGTACTTGGGAGTTGAGTGTCGGGGATGGATTTATGAAGGATGGGGTTAATCATAGAATTGAGGGGAAAAAAAAGGTGGTGGTGGTTGAGGTAATGTGGAGTCAAAAAACTTTTATTTGGAGGAAAAGAAGGGAAGTTTAAAAAGAAGAGTAGTACCAAACTCTTATATGGTGTGAAGTTTAAGGGGTAAATGCGCAGCGAGGGACGGTTTGGAGGCATTTGGAGATGTCCTGTCAAGGGCATGGGGGTGAAAATTTTATGAGAAAATTCGGAGTGTGGAAATTAGGGAAGGTTTGGGGAGTTAAAAAAAAGCATTAGTTAGAGGGCGAAGAGGGGTTGTTGAGGTGGTTTGGTTTTAGGAGAATGGATAAAAGTAGAATGAGGAAAGCATATAAATTTTTGGGGGAAGGGAAGGGGGGGTAGGGGTCGCTCGAAAGGGTTGGAAAGAGGGGGAAAAGGGGGTTTTTGGGGGCGGGGGTTTGGGGATTTCCCGAAAGGTGCATAGGTTTTAGATGGAGTGAATGGAGTGAATGATATTTGGGACTGACGATCTGTTTGGGGTGTGAGCAGGGTAATATTGTGAAGGGATTCAGGGAACCGGTTATTTTATATAGTCGGACTTGGTCTGGAAATGGGGAAATACAAGCCTGCACTTTAAAGGAGGGGTTTGGGATATTGGGGTTTGGAGGGTATGTTTTGATTTTTTAGTATTGTTCTAAAGTTGTATTTGGCACCTCTGCAAAGCAGTGATTAAAATGCGAGTGTGGTGAAAATGTTTAATGATGGTGAAAGTATTTTCTTTTTGGGGATTTTTTTTTTTTTTGGGTCCCCTGCCTTGGTGGGGCGGCCCACTTGTTGAAAAAAACAAAAAATTATAATAATAATAAACGTAATGTAAAAAATTATGAAGTAAAACAGCTTTTTCCCTTTGGGGATGGAGAAGAGATGCTGGGCCCGCAAGCATCATTATGTAGTCCCAAAGCATTAAATGCTACAATTTTTTTTTTTAACGTTACTTCATTATTTATGATTTTTGGGCCCTTTTTTCCCGTTTTCACATTTATTTGAGGGTATTTCAAAAAAAACTGTCCATGGGGTTTATTTCTTCCCCCCTTTAGAATGTTTAGGAAATGATTACCAAGGTATTACATAGCTCCCGGGATTATTATTATTTAAATTTGTATGAATATTTTTTAAAAATACTCTGCTTACCATTGGAATTTTTTTTCACAAAAAAATGAAGATTTTTGTTATACAATACTGCATTTTTAATAATTGTATAAAAAAATGTAACCCCTTCGTGAGCGTATAAGATGGGCCGGTGGGGTACGGGGCAGTGATGTCATTTGTTTTTCTTTAATGTAGCCAAAGATCGAAAATTTCACTACTTTGGCTCAAATTTTAAAGGGCTTTTCCTGTGAAAGCAATCAAATTCACATCCCCTTTTGTAATATATCTTTATTTTTATCAAATGAAAACCCAAAAAAAAACAAGAAAACAACCCTAAAAACTATGAAAATATATGCTAAGGGGCGCTAAGGCGGAGTAGTGAACTCAGTTATTTATGGTCCGATTTCTTTCAATTTTTTGGGGTCGTTTAAAAAGTTTTTTCCCTTTATTCATTGCCCCAAGTTTCAAAAGATAGTCCAACAAACAACTGAGATCCAATTCCCTAGATCAAGACCAAGAGCCCCTCACCAGCATCAAGGAACCTCCCTTGAGGCCCACTCGCATCTAGAAGTAAAAATTGACCAAACGACTGCTTGTATCTTGAAAAAACTCACATGTTGGGGCACTAGTAAGTAGACGTTCCACCGTATATATATTACACACACCCTTCTGGGTGTTTTGTCTAATTATTTGTTCTAGTTTATTTCCTCTTATCTCTATGGTGAAGTGGAACAGAATTCTTCCTTCATAAGCCATTGATTTTGTAAGAGGTGACTAACATGCGGGAGAAAGGGGCTAGTAACTCCTTCTCTGTATACATTACTAAAGTTAAAAAGAGAAACTTTTGTTTTTCTTTTTAGGCCCCCCTGCCTTGGTGGGATACGGCCAGTTTGTTGAAAGAAGAAATAGGGACTAGTGGGAACCTCAGCTGGGAGCAAAAACATCAGTTTAGTTGCATAATTCAATGTAGACTGGTCTTTTTAGCTAGTAGTTAGGCAAACCCAAAAAATATTAAAAAAAAAATATCAATTTGAGAAGAAACAAATGTATACCTGGAGTTTACCTGGAGAGAGTTCGGGGGTCAACGCCCCCGCGGGCCCGGTCTGTGACCAGGCCTAAAACCAAGAAACCAAGAAACTCTGCTTAACAATATATTTTTGAAACATATCATTTAGTTTATATAGTGCACTTTTACTTTTCATGCATACTGCATGATAAAGAATTACTGTTTATCATTCTGCAGGGGACTATTTAGTATAAATGGAACTAACAAGTAACAACTAGTGAAATGACTTCACTAATTTTGCAATTCATTGAATCACAATTTTTCACAAATTTATCATGTGGATATTTCTATATAGAGAACTTACTCTTACGACATCAAGAGTGCTGACAGCTTCTCCTCATTAGGTGCTGCATGATCATCACTCGAGGTTAGTTGAATCTGTTTTAAACACTCCTTGTAAATCTGAAAAAATTACCATTTATTATCAAATGCCATTATGCCTTATTATTGTTACTGCACTTCTTGAGGTCACTACATATCAATCATTAAAATTATTTATATTTGGAACTTGCATCAAAGTTCAATTAATTTGGTATCTCTGCAATTTACATATACTTCTAAATTTCTAACTCCACCTCCAATACTTCTTTTCTGACTTATCTTACCTGCAGTTCAGATTCTTTTGTTTCCACACTTTCACGAAGTTGGCACAGTACATCTTGCTGTGCCTGAAGCTCACTGCTCAGTGATGAAATCTTGGTGGTATATTCACATGTTTGTTGTGAGATGCAATCATTTGCTTCCTGCAATTTCTTTACCAGTGCAGTTTCCTTTTCTAATCTGTGGTTTGTTTCCTCTTTGGAGGTAGTTAGTTCTTGAAGAGATTGTGTTAGCTGAAAATTTAATAATAATTGTTATTTCACGAATATAAAGAGTATTGTAACCCAAACCATCAAGACTGTCTATAAACTAGGTTTATCTCATTTCTTCCTGCTACACATTGCTAAGAAAGTTAACCTACAAGGAGAGGCAAAAAGAGCTAAACCTGATGGTCTCAGAACTAAAAAGATCCAGAGAGGCATAAAAACATATCGGACACTCTGGATTTTACAGGGGTAGACAGGGTCAGACTATGTGAAAGACTGGGAGTGGGAACATGGGACACAACTGGAAAATTAAAGACCACATGAGTTTGTCACAAATATGTCAGAAAGTACTTATGCTTCAAAGTAGTCAGGAGATGAAATGACAGATGAGGAGGCAGTTGAAGCAAACATACAGTTTTAAGGGTAGATATGACAGGACCCTTGAATCAAAAAACTTGTGAAGTTTTCGGGTTAACTGGAGGCCCAGACTCAAGACCCAATCTCAACTAGCACAAAAAAGGCAAATACATGCACATCAACAATAATTTACTAAACAAAATTACCCACTGCATTTGCTACATCATATCTAGTACAATCAAATTATAAAAAAAAAATAGATTTTCATTATCATAAAAAGTACTGAAAACATTAAATTTACTAGTCCAAAACTATATACATAGAAGAATCACTTATACTGACCTGCTGTACTTGATAGTCAAGCTTGTTGGCACGCTCTAAGGATACTGATAGTTCGTTGTGAAGTTCTTCATTCTGAAAAGACAAAGTTTTTCAAGCTATTATTGTCATCTTGTTATATCATAATGCAAGTTTAAAATTCCTCTAAATTTCTTACACAGAACACCATAAATGTAGTCTCTCTTGCAACCACAAAAAAGAGGTTCAATGGATCATCATTCCCACAGCCTGGTCTCAAATAAAGCCCCCCTTAAGAAAAAAATTTATAATGACTAAGAAGAAATTTGTAAGATTTTTTTTTTTTTTATTATCACACTGGCCAATTCCCACCAAGGCAGGGTGGCCCAAAAAAGAAAAACTTTCACCATCATTCACTCCATCACTGTCTTGCCAGAAGGGTACTTTACACTACAGTTTTTAAACTGTAATAAAAAAAGAAAAGACCCACAATCCTGCCAGAGCAAAAAATGTTGAATAGGCTTCCTTTTCACACTCATATTTATAAGGGGTGATTATAGTGGCACCAACACTATTGTATGGATGTGAAGCATGGGTTTAGAATTTTGTAGAGGAGAAGGCAGCAGCAGAGAGCAGTGGAGATGATGTGTTTACAGGCAATGTGTGGTGTGAATATCATGCAGAGAATTCAGAGTTTGGAGATTAGGAGGTGTGGAGTTACCAAAAGTATTATTCAGAGGGCTAAGGAGGGGTTGCTGAGGTAGCCTGACTTATAGAGAGGACGGAGAAAAATAGGATGATAAGAGGGGGTATACATCTGGGGTGGAGGGAAGGCAGTGTAGGGGTCATCCTTGGGAAGGCTGTAAGTGAAGGAAGGGGGAAAGGGGGGGTAAAAGAAGTTTTAAGTGCTAGGGATTTCAATATGCAACAGACCTGTGTGAACATAAAAGACAGGAGTAAGTGTAGGCAAGTGGTTTTTTATGATTTGATGTGCTGTTGGAGTGTGAGCAACATAAGATTTATGAAGGGGCTCAGGGAAACCAATTAGCTCGACTCGAGTCCTGGAGGTGGGAGGTACAGTGCCGGCACTCTGAAGGAGGGGTGGGGTTTTGTGGTTTAGACAGTCATCTGAACTGTAATGTCAGCACACTTTTGCCAAGACAGTGATTAAATGAGAGACAGTAAAAGTTATTTTCTTCACTAGGTCACCCTACCTTGGTGGGAGACAGCCAGTGTTAAAAAAAAAAAAAAAAACTACTGTTGCCCACTATGGTAGTGTAATCTAAAGTAGTAAATATATTAATTATCATTCATTCAATAACTGTTCTGCCAAAGGTGCACTGATATCACAAATCAAGTGACCTTCTGAACCTCAAATAATTCCCCTCCCTCTTCTTTTGGAGTACAGGCACTGTACTTCCCACATCGAAAACTTAAGTTCTAGAGTTTTCTATGCCTATGGTAAAAAGGCTAGCATAATATTTTGAAAGAATGATTGCCATTGAAATGCAAAATAATAATAGCAGCAGAATACTCCCAGGTAAGGCCCATGTGGGTGAAATGGAGATCTGGATAGTGTCAGATAAGTGAAAGAGAGAGAGGAAGGGATTAGAAGAAAGGAGAGAAAGTGCTGGGGCTAAACCCAGTTGCATGGTGTTGGTTGGCAAGGTAGAGGGAATAGTTGTTTGACAGTGCTGACTGCAAGACTGTATAAGCGCAGTGGCAGAACCGGTTAGGATTTAGGGCGGCAAAGGACTCTCTCACAGGTGTTGCCCAAGTCATACACAAGTTTGCTGTTGTCTGTTTCTCAATGCAATATATGGGTAGGAGAGGGTAACATGATAAGCTGGCTTGGTAAAAAGGGCATCTTTAAAGGTCCACCCCTGCAGAGGGCAGGGCAGAAGTTGAGATTAGAGGTTAGGAATAAGGTTTAGCAATAGAGAGGGGGAGGAGCAGGATTGTATAGGGATTGGAAGAGGATTAGTGTGTTATCTGGCCATCTAATTATTTTGTTGAGGTAGGCTGTCCATGTGTCTTGGTGGGTTTCTAGCTGGTCTATCTGTCTGTCACTGAGTTCCTTCCAGAACATGTTCAGTGCCGGGGTACCAGTCCTGATGTGAAGAGACTCACTTGAAGCAAAGTCATCCCACACCACGCCCAGCACCCTCTGCAGTACATGGTTCTGAATTCACTGCAGTTTCAGGACATTTGTTTTTGTAGCGAGAGAAAGAGCAAGACGTGTATATGCAATAAGTGGTCATATGAGGGCCTTGTACAGGTATAATTTAGTGTGAGGGTGCGAGCCTAAGAGCTTGTATAGTGGCCCAAGGGCAGAACTGGCCATGGCTCTTTTGGCATTTATGCAAGTGTGTAGTCTAAGACTGGAGTCCAATTGAACTCCTAGGACAGTGGTGGTGTGTGTTCGTGGGATGGGTGCTCTTGTAGTGGTGGTTCTGAGTTCAACAGGTAGTGGTGGTGGTGGGCATCCTTTGGAAGAAGTAATCAATCTTAGATTTATGGCATTAGTTTTAATATGCCAAAGAATCTCCCAGGCACTGATCTTGTCTACCTCACATTGTGTTCTGAGTGATAGATATCTGCACTGTTCATGTGCGGTGAGTTGTGTGATGTCATCAGCATCTGCTTGTGTGAGTGTGTTACGATGTGCAGGGTCTGGAAAGTCGTTTGTGTAATTATATTATATATTATATTATATTATCACACCGGCCGATTCCCACCAAGGCAGGGTGGCCCGAAAAAGAAAAACTTTCACCATCATTCACTCCATCACTGTCTTGCCAGAAGGGTGCTTTACACTACAGTTTTTAAACTGCAACATTAACACCCCTCCTTCAGAGTGCAGGCACTGTACTTCCCATCTCCAGGACTCAAGTCCGGCCTGCCGGTTTCCCTGAATCCCTTCATAAATGTTACTTTGCTCACACTCCAACAGCACGTCAAGTATTAAAAACCATTTGTCTCCATTCACTCCTATCAAACACGCTCACGCATGCCGGGCTGGAAGTCCAAGCCCCTCGCACACAAAACCTCCTTTACCCCCTCCTCCAACCCTTCCTAGGCCGACCCCTACCCCCCTTTCCCTTTCCCACTACAGACTGATACATCTTGAAGTCATTCTTTTTTCGCTCCATTCTCTCTACATGTCCGAACCACCTCAACAACCCTTCCTCAGCCCTCTGGACAACAGTTTTGGTAATCCCGCCCCTCATCCAAAACTTCCAACTACGAATTCTCTGCATTATATTCACACCACACATTGCCCTCAGACATGACATCTCCACTGCCTCCGCCTTCTCCTCGCGCAACATTCATCACCCACGCTTCACACCCATATAAGAGCGTTGGTAAAAACTATACTCTCATACATTCCCCTCTTTGCCTCCAAGGAACAAAGTTCTTTGTCTCCACAGATCCTAAGTGCACCACTCACTCTTTTTCCCTCATCAATTCTATGATTCACCTCATTTTCATAGACCCATCCGCTGACACGTCCACTCCCAAATATTGAATACGTTCACCTCCTCCATACTCTCTCCCTCCAATCTGATATTCAATCTTTCATCCCCTAATCTTTTTGTTACCCTCAAACCTTACTCTTTCCTGTATTCACCTTTAATTTCCTTCTTTTGCACACCCTACCAAATTCATCCACCAATCTCTGCAACTTCTCTTCAGAATTCTCCCAAGAGCACAGTGTCATCAGCAAAGAGCAGCTGTGACAACTCCCACTTTGTGTGTGATTCTTTATCTTTTAAAATCCCGCTCTTGCCAAGACCCTCGCATTTACTTCTCTTACAACCCCATCTATAAATATATTAAACAACCACGGTGACATCACACATCCTTGTCTAAGGCCTACTTTTACTGGGAAAAAAATTTCCCTTTTCCTACCCTACTCTAACTTGAGCCTCACTATCCTCGTTAAAAACTCTTCACTGCTTTCAGTAACCTACCTCCTACACCATACACTTGCACATCTGCCACATTTGCCCCCCTATCCACCCCGTCATACGCCTTTTCCAAATCCTTAATGCCACAAAACACCTCTTTAGCCTTACAAATACTGTTCATTATATGTTTCACTGTAAAAAACCCGGTCCACACACCCCCTACCTTTCCTAAAAACCTCCTTGTTCATCTGCTATCCTATTCTCCGTCTTACTCTTAATTCTTTCAATTATAACTCTACCATACACTTTCCCAGGTACACTCAACAGACTTATCCCCCTATAATTTTTTGCACTCTCTTTTACCCCCTTTGCCTTTATACAAAGGAATATGCATGCTCTTGCCAATCCCTAGGTACCTTACCCTCTTCCTTACATTTATTAAATAATTGCACCAACCACTCCAAAACTATATCCCCACCTGCTTTTAACATTTCTTCTTTATCCCATAAACCCCGGCTGCCTTACCCCTTTCATTTTACCTACTGCCTCACGAAACTTCCCCCACACTCACAACTGGCTCTTCCTCACTCCTACAAGATGTTATTCCTCTTGCCCTATACACAAAAATCCAGTTCCCTATCTTCATCAACATTTAAAAATTTCCCTAAAAATATTCCTTCCATCTTCCCAATACCTCTAACTCTCCATTTAATAACTCTCCTCTCCTATTTTTTAACTGACAAATCCATTTGTTCTCTAGGCTTTCTTAACTTGTTAATCTCACTCCAAAATTTTTTCTTATTTTCAACAAAATTTGTTGATAACATCTCACCCACTCTCTCATTTGCTCTCTTTTTACATTGCTTCCCACTCTCTTAACCCTTTTCTCTTTTTCTCCATATACTCTTCCCTCCTTGCATCACTTTACTTTGTAAAAACTTCTCATATGCTAACTTTTTCTCCCTTACTACTCTCTTTACATCATCATTCCACCAATCGCCTCTTCCCTCCTGCACCCACTTTCCCGTAACCACAAACTTCTGCTGAGCACTCTAACCCCTACATTTTTAAAACCTACCCATAACCCCTTCGACCCCATTGCCTTGTCTCATTAGCCCATCTATCCTCCAATAGCTGTTTATATCTTACCTAACTGCCTCCTCTTTTAGTTTTTTAAAACCCTTTACCTCTCTCTTCCCTGATGCT